TGGAGAAAGCAGGAATAGATTTGCGATAAATGTGTTAGGCTGAGAAATCTTTTTTTTTTTTAATTTGGAGACTGATATGCCTTATGTTTCATTCCATCCCTTGACTACAGAAAAGTCCCCTAACCTGAAACTGACATTTCAGAAGTGTGTGTCACTGGTTGCAGAGGAGGCAGGGTGAAATGATATGAACAGACTATTGGCATCATTGAAATACACATTGTTTGGATGGAAGTTTAATGATATCTTCTTTGAATAAAAAGATAGCCTACCTATTTAGTCTGTATACATTAAATAAATGTGTGAAATTTATTTAAAATTAGTACAATTTAATAGAAAATAAAAGAGAGATATTTTGTACTGTCTTATGTCTTAGGAAAAGTACTGTGTCCCAACTTCATAAAGTTTGGATGGTCAACAACATGGTTATACAGTTATCCATTCCAGGAGGAATAAAGCTCACACTGAGATAGAAATATGACTGTGGTGTGGAACACTGGATTCATCAGGAAACAGTGACATAGGAGACCTGGGTTCTGTGTCCAGTTCTTCCCCCAAGCCTTGTGTGGGGTGTCTACCTCTTTGTGGTTAGCCTATATAAATGGGTAGGGTGTCCTGCCATTTCTCTTAGGACTGTTGTGGGGATTTGAATATTAGTGTGTAAAAACACTTTGATAATTTTACGGTCAAGGTATATGTGCATTTATTTGCAAAAGGCTGAAGATGGTTTATCGAAGTTAAGATCATTATCACGTCTCACCCTCCTCTCTCTCTGTCTCTCTCTTTTTTTTTTTCCTACTTGGACAGTGTAAAGAACACGACCTGGCCATGATTAACCAGCTACTGGATGATCCGAAGCTGACAGCCAGAAAATATAGGGAGTGGAAGGTCATGAACACCCTGCTGATCCAGGACATCTATCAGCAACATCAGCAGAGGCGAACCCCCACCTCTGCCTCCGAAGGCTCCCCCAAGAAACCACCTTCATCTGCCCGCCTTGAAAATTCTATCTGAGAACAAGCCAGGATGCTCTCCCCTCCTGTCTTACCCCTCAGGCAACTCTTCAAGACGTTGCGATAGCTTCACATTTTTCCTTGTAAAGGAAAACTGAAACCCAGTTCCTGGAAACACCAGCTCCTCCTGGAGGGATGCGGTTGGGATGAAAACAAACAATGATGCTGCCTCACCAATTCCAGTGCTCCCATTGGACTGGAGGGATGGAGTTCAGCTGAGAAATCTGTGTCTGTGTTCCTTCTGGGACCGCTGCTCACACTGGATTCTAGGTGGGATGTGAAACACATCTTCTGTTTCTTGTTCTCAAGAGAAGGACAGCATTCCACGGACAAAAGATCACTTTTGGCCAGGGATACTTCTTCATAGAAATATTCCGTTTTTCCAAAAGAAGAATGTACATATTCTATCTGGTTGGGTAGCTGAGTTCCCCAAATCACCTTTTGAGTGGAGGAATGCTTTCTACAGAGCACCCGGAGCAGGACAGATGTGGTATCATGGAACCCAAGTTCCTTGCCTTTGGTCCAGAATGGTGGTGCCTTTCCCACGTGTTGAGAAATGCTTCATAGCTAATGGTGTATGGGAACGCTCAAGAAGGAGACATGTTCTGTATTCTACTCATTCAAAGGACAGCTTAATATTTTCACACTTTATCCGGGTTGGGGTAGGGGACCAGATTCATGTGTCCTTTCCACAGAACAGCTAAAGACAACTTTCTCATCACACTTGGACACTTCTGTTCTGACCTAAGCGTTTCTGAACCAGGACATAGTAATGACATCCAGCGAGGAGTGTTTCCCGCCATTGCCCTTGGTTGTGGTAGCTATGCGTGGTATAAATATACATCCAGGGAGTTCCCTGGTGGTTCAGTGGCTAGGACTCCATGCTCTCAGTGCTGAGGGCCCAGGTTCAATCCCTGGTTGGGGAATTAAGATCCCACAAAAAGCACAACATGGCCATAAAATAAATAAATGTATATCCATGATCCCCAGGATCAATATTGACAAGGTGATTCTGGTGTCTGAAACTTTTAGTATCATTACTCCAAAAAAAAAAAACAAAAGAGTTAAAATTGTTTTATTTTTGTATGTTTATGTGTCACTATGTGAATAGCTATCTATAATATGTTTGTTATTTAAGGATATTTATAGAAGTTCAGATTACTAGTGTCTTAAAAGAGGCTATATACTATGGTATGTTTTGTTCAGTATATATTTCAAAGTATATCCTTTTTGCTTGAGAAAAATAGAAATACTATGGATTCATTTGAGTTATGATATTGCACTATAATGTCTGAGGAATGCTCAGGAAATCTTGTGGGATAAATGTAGGGCATGCATTGCTAATAATAATCTTTATTTTCTGGCTTTTCTCTCTGCTTCTGTCTCTGTCTTTCTGTCTCTGTCCTGAGAATGCTTAGGTTTCTATCTGTTGTAAACCATTCTTCTAACCAGAAAAGGACTTTCCTCTTACATCATCCCTTCTAGTAAATACACTTTAAGGTTTATGCCATTTATGCCCACACATCCTAAACCAAATGAAGCACAACTAATGCAGTCTTCTGAAGACTAATAGACTAATACCCTTAAAGGGAACTCATTTTATTAGAGAAACAAGAGGCAAGTCTCCACTCACTAATCACCACAAATACTTCTCTCCGTAAGAATAACCGCAACACAGCAGAGACCCCTTTCAGCCTGACCTCGAGCAAATTGTCAACACAACCTCATTGCCTTTGTACTGTCAGAGTGTGTGGCTTGACATTCAAATGGAAATAACGCCCCCCCCCCCACCGAATTTTAAATGCAAACTAAGTGGAAATAGTTCTTAAAAATTTCCCTAAGCTTTACTAAGAAGTCTTACTATTCTGTAAACAAAAAACAACTTTAGCATTAAGAAGAGGAGGGGGTGGAAACCAAACAAGAAGCACATTGTAATACTAGAAGCTTCTGAGAGATAAAGGCCATGCTGGTCAGTTTGACCCAGTAAGCATTAAGGTGCTGTTGCCCCAGGTGGAATTGTTGGCCCCCAGAGAAGGAATGATTCAGGTCCTCAGGCTGGACCCTGAAGCTTCTGGTTTGAAGGCTGGTGTTTCATCCTCTTTACTCTAGAAATTATCATTGATTCTGCCTGTAATTAGCTGCATCTAATTCTTCCTGTTTCCATTGTTTCCCCATTTCCCTGTCTATTTGCCATGAAGTCATGGGACCAGACGCCAGGATCTTTGTTTTTTTGAATGTTGAGTTCTAAGCCAGCTTTTTCATTCTCCTCTTTCACTTTCATCAAGAGGCTCTTTAGTTCCTCTTCGCTTTCTGCCATAAAGGTGGTGTCATCTGCGTATCTGAGGTTGTTGATATTTCTCCTGGCAATCTTGACTCCAGCTGTGCTTCATCCAGCCTGGCACTTCTCATGATGTACTCTGCATATAAGTTAGATAAGCAGGGTGACAATATACAGCCTTGATGTACTTCTTTCCCAGTTTGGAACCTGTCCGTTGTTTCACGTCTGGTTCTAACTGTTGCTTCTTGACCTGCATACAGGTCAAATTCTTCCTGTAATAAGAAGGTGGATTGTTTAGGGTTCTCAATGGAAACAAAGTGGTGAGAAAAGCTGATAAATCATGGAGGAAAAGATATTATGATATACGTTCTTCTGCCTTATTTCTCTTTGGTTTCCAGCACCACCCGATAGATGTCAAACCAGTTTTCCCCAGGAGGAAGTGCTTCAACAGCTTGCAGATATATTTTAATGCTTTACTGTGACTTTTCGTCAATATATACATGTAACTGACCTTTTCAAGTCCACTGGTACCACCCCAATTTAAAGGCAAAATAGATCCCTGAGATGACTTAATCCAGTCTTTCAATTACTTTTCAAGGTGAAGTCAGTTGACACGTTTTTGCTTTGTTAGTTGAAACAGTTACCCTATAGAACCGCCGCCCTCCCCCCACCCCCCCGCCCCGGGCCCCGTGAAAGTTAAAACTGAGTTGCAGGATTTTGCCCCCAGCTTTTCTAGACCAGACTCACCTGCTCACTTGTGACTTCCCTTCTGGGGATGTGTTCAGTCTGTGTTCTGTTGTGCTAGGAAGTAGGGGGGGCTGCAGCTCTGAGTTCCCACCTTCAGCTGTGGTTGAAGAGGAGGGCAAGAGAAGTGAGAACAGGAGGGTGACATTCTTCAGAAGTAATGCCAGTAAGTCTCTGTGCCTGAAGCCATTTTTTTCTGATCTGAGGGACACTGAGAAAATTGGATCACTTCCAATTTATTCCTGAGGACTGGCCCACCTCTGAAATGGATTTGGGGCCATTTCGTGTGGGTCTAAGGGGAGATTCCTATACCCTTTGCTGTTGTCAAAGTTTACTGTTCCTCCCATACTGATCTGCTGCTGAGCTGGCTGTGGATTGGGGTGTAACTTATCATTCTGCTTGCTTTCCTTCCTTCTGTAAAGTACACTGCTTGTTAGGAGCTGTGAGATCCTGGGATAAAAGAGATCTGTTGTCAAGGGCTGTGGAACCGCACACCACCATGACCACTCAGGATGCGGAGAAGCTCTGAGTGTAACCGGGTCTGAACCCACGGCACCTGCCGTGGACTAGGATCTGGCTTGGACTCCTCGCTGGGGTTGCTGTGGGTCGGGGGACTGCTCCCCTCCACTGCTTGCCTGGTGCGTGATGTGATGCCCCTCACTGATCGGACCGCTGCGGGATCTGCTGAGTCACGCCCCTCACGTGGAGGATGTCTGTTGCGTTGAGTAATCCTGAGTAGTGTCCTAGTCTCTGTTATCACACCCCTGGCCTACAGCCTTGGACGAAGACTCTAAAGCATACTATGGTGAAGACTCCCGGAAGCAAGCTTGGGGAAACACTTGTGCTGGAGTCAGAGGTCAAGGTGACATGATGGTGCCTTAGGTTTAAGTAGCACTTTGTAGTAGTTTGCAAATGGATGTGTTTCAGGTTCCCCCTCCGCCTCCGGAGGGGTCTCTGTAATACTGGGGATGGTTGTGGATTATCATTCCTTCTGGCCAAGGAGTGTGAGGTGCCTTGGGGACGCCCCCACGTGGTGTGGCCAGGACGTGAGCGTGAGTCTGCCTCCATCTCTGCCTTGCGCAGTGGTGTGGGGGCCCAGCAGGTGAACTTGACCGTACGTGTCCTTGCACTGCCGTGGGCCCAGGGCCGTGGTGGCTTTCTGAGGTCATCGACCAGAAACCCGAGGGCCCCTGTTCCTTGAGTACAGTCTCTTCCTTGTGGCCTGAAAGTTTACTGTTCCTCCCGTACTGATCTGCTGCTGGGCTGGCTGTGGATTGGGGCGTAACTTATCATCCTGCTTCTTTTCCTTCCTTCTGTAAATTACACTGCTTGGTAGGAGCTGTGAGATCCTTGGATGAAAGAGATCTGTTTATTTTTCCATTTTAAACGTGTCAGGAGAGGCCAGACACTGAGCTTAGTGATTAAGGGTTAGGACCTTAAGTTCCTTTCAGCTCTTTTTTATGTAATTATGCTAATTTCCTCAGATAGCCCCTAAATCACAAGCAGTATCACAGAGGTGCACCACTTTCAAGTCTTTTGAGGAGAGGCACTGTACCAGTTCCAGCCATATATAAATTTATGGACATATACCTCTTTGTATGATACTCCGATTGATAATATTTTGATGAAGTCCACAGAAGATCAAGTGAGTAATTTAGGTGCAGAAGGGGGCCACCCGACAATCACTCTGTGTTGCAAAGCCGCCATGTCTAAATGAAGTTTTAGGGTGGATCTCCTCTTCGGTCTAATATTTGATATTTGATTGGGGTTTTCCAATTGACTTCACCATATTAGTTTTTTTGGGGGGGTATACTGATACTTATATATAAGAGAAATAGAGTCCTAGAAATGTGGAGTGACTGCCTCCCTAGGGTTTTGTAGTATGTCACAAAAATGGAAGCCCCCGAAACTAGATTTTAAGAACTCATAGGAAATGGACTGAGGTGGATCAGTCATTCCTCCAGCACCCAGAGCTGCTGTCTCAGTGAACAAGATAACGAACTCATTTCTGTGTGTTGTGAGACAGGAAGCCTTCTCTGCACATCTTCACCCTTGCACACATCACCACAGACCACAGAGAAAATGAAGAAATGGATTCTGCGTTTTGAATAATACTTCTGTTTCTCGTGCTGTGAGAAGACTTTGCTGCCCTGTTTTGATATTTCTTTACCTTGAATCCAAAAGGGGATGCATGCCCCAGGGAGACGATTAACATCTCATCATAAAGCCCAGGATTTTATTCCACCATGTCTTTTAACGTCCTTGCATGATGGGGATGTGACTTTTTGCACTGCATGATGTTTGCGGGCAAGATGTTACTGTCGAAACGATACCTTCAATCTCATACTCTGTCATCTCCCCTCTTGGAACGAACTGAAAAAAGAGGCATGACTCATTTCTCCTGCTTTCTGTGTTTGAGGATGACTTGTCAGATAAAAATAAAAACAGGAGAAAATATGTCTAGTAAAATGACATGGGAAACAGTGGAAATGTTCTGCTCGTGTTCGTTTTCTGCCCTGCAATGTTGCTTGGTCAAAATAAAAATTCCCTGGGAAGTATTGAGTGGCTGGGCTTTTATTGTCTACAATGATTAGGGCCCCCTCTGGTGGCAGCTTTAAAATAATTGCTTCTAGACGATTTTTAAATTTTTAAATGAAAGTTTACTGAGAAATCTATTTCAACAATAACTAAGGTGAGCTTCTCCAGTGGTCCTCAGCTGACAGCTTTCTTGATACCGAGATATTTATACTTTTCAAAATTGTTGATGCACACAATTTACCTCATCATTTTTATGTACCCACATTTTGTTTAGAGAATCTTAAAAATCTGCAGATCACAAAAATTACAACCAGTAGCACATAAGCTCCTTAAAACACATAAGATAACTCCGTGGAAAAGGGACAATGAATATACTGAAGTAGCATCATAAATTGCCTTTGCTGCGATCCACTGATGAGAGGAGGTTAGTTTGCATTGAACTTAACACCTCCCTGACTGCTGCATACACAGTGTTATTTTCTTTCCTCTCTCCCTCCAAATTTTCACTTTACATGCCAAGTCTCATCCTCTTTTTCCTCCATCTGCCACTAGCAAGTCTGTCCAGGCTCCCACACAGAAGCAGTAAAAAATTATTCTAGACCAAAGGGATTATTCAAAGGCATCAGTATAGCATGTTCCTGATTTCCAGAACAATCTTGCATTAGTTTTCTCTTGCAGCAGTACCACTGCAAATGTAGCAGCTTAAAAATGTGTTTTCTTCCACTCGTGGATTCAGATATTTGATACCCATTTTTCCGTAAGCTAAAATCAAGGTGTTGTCAGAACTGTGTTTCGGGGATTGCCTTGGTGGTTCAGTGGTTAAGGATCCATCTGCCAATGCAGGGACCATGGGTTCTATCCCTGGTCCAGGAAGATCCTACTAGCCAAGGGGCAACTAAACCTGTCCGCCACAACAAGAGAAGGTACTGCAATTAGAAGCCCGCACGCTGCAACTAGAGAAAGCCCTTGCACAGCCAAAAATAAATGTAAGAAAAAGAACTGTGTTGCTTCTGGAGTCTCCAAGGAAGAATGCATTTCCTTGTTCTCTCCAGGTCGCCCACATTCTTTGCTTCTTGGCTGTCTTCCTCCATCTTCAAAGGTGGCTCTAGTGAGAGACCTTCTCCAGACAGGCTCTTTTAAAGACCCTTGGGATTACATTCAGCCTGCCTGGGTTAATACAAGCGACCTTCTCTGTTTTAACAACTTGAATACAACCTCCAACCTTAACTCCTCTTTGTACCACATTTGCAGGTCCAGAGTCATGGTCATCATTCTACCATGTAAATCCGCTGGCTGTAAACCTCCATTTCAAATATCCTGTTTAGTCCCCCTGAACCATCGATGTCTTCCCAAAATTTCAGAATGTCTAAGTTTTAATGGCAAGCACGGAATCCTTTGTCATACCATGTGACAAATTTGGTTTCATCAAAATATATCCACTTTAGGAAAAGTATTAATAATTCCATTTTTATGAGAAAGGGGGACATTTTCTCGTTTTTAAACTGACACACACTCAGGTGTGACAGGTACAGGAGTTTCACAATTAGATCAAGTTTTAACAACACCTGCATTTAAAGACAAAGCATTAGAAAGTTGCTTTTGGGGGTGTTTCCTGTCTCTTTCAGTCCGGGTTTGGAGACTCCGGCTTCCTCCGGCTTTTCATGGAAGAGATGTCAGGAGAAAGTGTGGTGAGCTCAGCGGTGCCGGCGGCTGCGACCCGCACCACCTCCTTCAAGGGCACGAGCCCCAGCTCCAAGTACGTGAAGCTGAACGTGGGCGGGGGCCTGTACTACACCACCATGCAGACGCTGACCAAGCAGGACACCATGCTGAAGGCCATGTTCAGCGGGCGCATGGAGGTGCTCACGGACAGTGAAGGCTGGATCCTCATTGACCGGTGTGGCAAGCACTTTGGTACAATACTCAACTACCTTCGCGATGGGGCGGTCCCGTTGCCCGAGAGCCGTCGGGAGATTGAGGAGCTGCTGGCAGAAGCCAAGTACTACCTGGTCCAGGGCCTGGTGGAAGAGTGCCAGGCCGCCCTGCAAAACAAAGATACTTACGAGCCATTCTGCAAAGTTCCCGTCATCACGTCATCCAAGGAAGAACAGAAACTTATAGCGACGTCAAATAAGCCAGCTGTGAAGTTGCTCTACAACAGAAGTAACAACAAATACTCGTATACCAGCAATTCTGACGACAATATGTTGAAAAACATTGAACTGTTTGATAAGCTGTCTCTGCGCTTTAACGGAAGGGTCCTGTTCATAAAGGACGTCATTGGAGACGAAATCTGCTGCTGGTCCTTCTATGGCTAGGGCCGCAAGATCGCCGAGGTCTGCTGTACCTCTATCGTCTATGCCACTGAGAAGAAACAGACAAAGGTGGAGTTCCCCGAAGCCCGGATCTACGAGGAGACCCTGAACATTTTGCTGTACGAGGCCCAGGATGGCCGGGGACCTGACAACGCGCTCCTGGAGGCCACAGGCGGGGCGGCCGGGCGCTCCCACCACCTGGACGAGGACGAGGAGCGGGAGCGGGAGCGGATTGAGCGCGTGCGACGGATCCACATCAAGCGCCCAGATGACCGGGCCCACCTCCACCAGTGAGCGGGTGGGGTCCCCCGCTGCCCCCCATCCGCTCGCCTGCCCCCCCTTGCTGTGCACCCAGCACCCCCGCCGGCTCCCAGACGCCTGCCACTTCCCCCAGAGTCCAGAGAGACTTCCCTACAAACCAAATGATTTTGGTATTTCTCGACAAGGTAAATTGATGTCTTTGCCCAGGTGAACGCACCCCAGCTGGTGAACAAGCTGGGTCCACGGTATCTGTTTCCCAGAGAATCCGAGCAGCACTGGAGCCAGGCTTTTCCTGCTTCCGGAGGAGGGGTGGGTGAGCGGGTGGGGTGTGCGTGTGCGAAACCCCTCTGCAGTATTTATTTTGGGGGGTGTTGACTGCCTCTCTCATCTTCTCGGGGGCCTTCCCTCCAGGGTTCGGTTTGCCAGCTGGGAGCAGGGCCCCATGGGCGGTGGTCACCCGCGGCGTCCCCACGTTTCCCCACCTTGCAGCGCAGCGTCCTGGCCCCGTTCCTGTGTGCTGGGCCTGGCACAGGCTCCAGGGCTTTGCGAGCTGGCCATCCGGCCATGGGCGCTGCTCAGAGAGCTTGTGGGTGGAGACCCGCAGCTCCTGGGGGTTCGCGCCTCTCTGCTGCGGTTCCCAGCGTGCCCCTGGCTGCCCAGCTCTGCCAAAGGGCAGGCCTGTTGCCCCTTCAGCCGATCTGTGGTCTGGCTGCGGGCAGAGCTTCCCCCCGCTCCTCCCACCTACCCCCGCCCCCTGCCTTGGGGACCCACTCCATTCCATGCTGGCCGCCTGGCCTGCTCACGGGCACAGCACACAGACCGCTGCCCGGTGGCTCCATTCCCTCCTCCCCGGCCTTTTGCCCTGTTAAGCAGGGCTTGCTGCCCCAAGCAGATACCCTCCCCTTGGCTAAGAAGAAAGGAAACCTGGCTCCAGACTCTGTTCTGGCGTCCAGGCAGGACCAGTGCTCACTATAGGGTGGCTGTCACCTGGAGATACCCTCCGGGTTTCCGCCTTGGAGTCTTACACAGTGTGACGTGGCTGTCAGCAAGCAGACCGAGAGGTTGTGCAGGTTTCTGGGGTCCGGTCAGTGTCCATGTTCATGTTTGCTTAAGGGACGTGCGTGACTGTGGATGAGGATGTGTGCCTGGGGGGCCCGAAGGGCCCGCGCTGGAGCCCTGCTGCCCACACGGTGCTCGTGGGGGGCGGACGTTCTCGGTGACCTACCTCCCCGCCTCTCCGCGCCTGTGCCGGCCCAGAGGGAGTTGTGACGAATGTGGGTGGCTGAGACTAGGCTGGTAGAGTAGTTCCAGGAAGGTGAGGGTGTGTGTACAGTCTGGATGGGTTTTGTCGGCTATTCAAGTGACTGTTTTATACCAAAGGTATTAATATGGGCAGCCTTTGACAGTGTATTCCCCAAAAAACAAGTTTATATTTTGAAATGGTTTTTACTGCTTAGACTTTGTACATCCGGTCCTACTTGGGACAGTTGTATACCTTTATTTTGTATCCAGCAGCAAAGCCTACAATAAAACTTGCAAACAATCATGATTGAACCTAAAAATCACATACAGGGGTAGATGCTTTTAAACTGTTGTATGGGCAACTTTCGTATATAGGCCACCTGGATTTTATTAAGTGCTGAGGACGGGAGGGAGGGGGCTTAATTAAATATGGTTTGTAAATATTTTCTACTGTGGAAGTTTTAAACACCAACCCTGCTGTTTGGGTTGTCCTTTTCTAGAACGGTAAAGTGAATGTCAGTTCTGATGTTTTCTGTAGGAATGGAAAAGCCATCATGTAAGTTCTCTTTTGTTTTTAAATGTTTACGTGAAGAGTAAGTTTGTGGATCAGTCTGAGCTGTAGGGGCTTCTACACCTTATAATGTTTATAATGACTTAAATAATGTTTCTGGCAATCTCTGTTTTCACATCTCCTCCAGCTTTGCACTTGGAGTTTGAAGTCTTTGCTTTCCTGGGATATGAACAAGTTCATGAAAGCAGTCCATAGTGAGTGATACTGTTAGCTGCCTATAGCCGTGAGCAGATGATGACGAAGCATTGGCTGGTCCAAGGCTCTGTTATCAGACATATTCTTCAAGGAACTGATCTCTTATGTGAGCACTAAGGGTCAGCAAAAGTCAATACCTGTATTTAAGAACCATCCAAGCAAATCACTGGCCCTAAGATTTGTTAAAGAGTGTAGTTTTTATTACACTGTAATAACTTACAGTGGGAAAAACCAATACAGCTTTGGGTCCCTCATAATCAGGTTTTTTCCCCAAATAAGTCATTGATTGCGGTGACTAGGGGGCCTCTGCCCATGACAGTTCCTGGCCAGGCCTCACAGTCGCCCCCCTGCAGTGATTTAGCGGGGTGGTCACCGTTCAGGTACCCCAGCCCTCCGTCTGGAATGTGCTCCCTACTACCCAGAGTCACTGTAACACGTGTGTGTCACTAACCTTTCTGTCTCTGTGCCACGGGAAAAAGTACACTATGCACTTCAGAAGCAGTCACTGTATGTTGTACCAGCCTCTGTGGACGTATATAAAATAAAAGTTCTATATAACGCTTCTTAAAAAAAAAAAAAAAAAAGAAAGTTGCTTTTGAGAACTGAATATCGTTTAGCAGAGGGTGACTTAAGCCTCAAAATCTTAGGTAGATGAGCTGCTCTGTGCCAGGTCGTAGACTGCTCCCACAGGAAAGAGCCCAAGAGTCTAGTTAGAGTCCATGATGATGTTCAAATGTACCAAGAGGCATAGAATTTGCATTGATCTTGGCCCTTGTAAATCACCATCTGAGTACTATATTTGTCTTTCCTCTTTGAACAACCCAAACAAGCCTGTCTTTGCAGGTAATTCCTTGATGCCAGTCTGCTTGTTTTCCTAGCCTCATGCTTTAGGAAGTCATAAGCACTCTGCCTGCCCTGAAGTCTCTGATGAGTGTGTGTTGGCAGTTTTGTCCGGAGCAGGTGGTGTGGTGAAGGGACAGAACTCCCAGGCCAGTGGGGTGCCTGGATGCTTCACTAGATATTGTCCCGGTGCCAAAGATTGTTGTGGATGCTGCGGAAGCCGGCCCAGACCCCTTCACTTGTCCAGAGTTGTTATGCCTCAGGATTTGCAGTTAATAGCATCCCCCTTTTCCAGAAAATGGTCCTCAGCCAAATGAGACCCACTTAGGCCAGGATGTTATTTATGTTCCTCATTCTCGACCAGGGTGGCTGTGGCCAATAAATGCCAAGGCCAGATGGCAGCACTTAGCAATCACAAGCAAGGTGGTCAGAATTAGTGCAATGGGCAAACAGTGACAGCCTGGGGCTGGTGCTGACCATATGGATCTTTGGAGATTGCTAATAGAAAATGAGTCTCCAGACACAAAATACACGGGAAGACAGCAGTATGCAGAAATACCTTCAAGGGAAATTTGATAGGATCCAAACTGTTGCTGATTCCCAGGAACCCCTTCCAAATAATATGGCCACTGGGTTAGGGGAGGGAAGGGAAATATACAGGCCAAGTGATAAATGGCCCATGTCCTCTAATTTCTTTTTTCTTCTCCAAAATATTTGGTTGCACCATGTGACATGTGGGATCTTAGTTCCCTGACCAGAGATTGAGCCTGCACCCTTTGCAGTAGATGTGTAGAGTCTTAACCACTGGACCTCCAGAGAAGTCCCGCTCATTTCTAAATGTACAATTGGAAATGCTATACTTGGAAGCTGGAAGAATTCTCAGGTCAGTTTTTTGACCAGTAATAGGTATTGTAGTGAGAAAGGACAACAGAAGTCCTTGAAGCTACCTCTTTCAGAGGAGACAATAAATGAAAACCAACATTGCATCCAAGGGAAATGGCAGAGGTTAGTGCCCCGATAAAGGACTTTAAGGTACAGGGGTAGTGGTGCCCACTCATACCTATTCAAGTTACAAGTTTGTCTCCTAAAAAACCAAGAAGAATCATGGCAAATTGTGATGGATTCCTGTTAACTGAACCAAGTTATAACCCTCTGACCTGCAGTGTTTACTGTGGTCTCTTTACTAGAGCAGATTACATCCACAGCTCTTGGCTGGGAAGTGGATTCTCTTCAATATCCTTCACTTCACATTTGTATGGAATGGATGACTAAATGCATTTGTGGTCTTGACCCAGGACTATATTAATTCTCTTGCTATGTGTCATGATATAGTTAAAAGGGACCTATATCATTTAAACATTCTACAGAAAATCATATTGGTTCACTATATTGATGGCATCACATAACAAGCAATAAGAACTTGATGAGCAAGAAGGGGCAAGTGCTTCAGAGGCTGTGGCTTGACACAGGAACTCCGGATAGTGAGAGAGAGATTCAACAAAGCCTCAAAGTCTTGCTAAATATGTGAAATATCTAGAGGTCCAATTGCTTGGGGAAAAGCCAGGACATCTCATGCAAAGGGCAAAATTATTGTACCTTGTGTGTGTATGTGCTCAGTCATGTCCAATTCTTTGCAACCCCATGGGCTGTAGCCCTCCAGGCTCCTCTGTCCACAGGATATTCCAGGCAAGAACACTAGAGTGGGTTGCCATTTCCTTCTTCAGGGGCTCTTCCTGACCCAGGGATTGAACCCTTGTCTCCTGTGTCTCCTGCATTGCAGGAGGATTCTTCACCACTGAGCTACGTGGGAAGCTTAGATGTCTACAATAAGAAACAAGCATCATGCCTGGTGTGTCTGTTCAAGTTTTGAAGGCAACACGTCCTGTACATGGGAAGATTGTTCTGACTTCATTCATTGACATGGGAATCTTCTAGAGCCCAGAACAAGAATGGGCTGTACAGTAAGAATAGACCGTAGTGCAAGTAATCCTTCTTGTGCTTGGGCTATATGACTTGGCAGATCCCATAGTAGGTAGTAGAGATAGATACAACACAGAAGGGAACAATGTGGAGTCTATGACAGCCTCCATCATGAGAGTCACGGCACAGATCCCTAGGATTCTGGACCAAGGCCATGCCATCTACAACAGAGAATGAGTTACCATTAAAAAAAATAGTTTCTGGAAGCTATTTAGCCCTGGTGAATACTAACTATGGTAGACTGTCTAACCAAGGCACATCAGCTGGCTTTGCAGCCAGAACTAATCACCAAGCGGTGAGTATTATTTAAGACGTATCTTTCGAGTGGTCCAGAAGTAATTTAGTGTAAAATGGGAGTGGCGTGGCCAAGATTGGGCTTCCGCAGCTCTAGAGGGCTCCAGGAGATGGCATAAACAAGTGAATCAGACACCTACACCACTTACCATGGTTACATAGTCATTGCTCCCTGGGTTCACACATTGTCCTCCTGGGGAGTTCTCATTGTCAGACCAAAGAGGAAACTGCCCAAACCTAGGTCATTAGTGGGTTGACTTTATATGTGAATTTGAGTCAAAAATGAACTTTTCAACTGTCCTATAGCCTCACTCTGAAAGCCAGTGGTGAGCAGAAAACCACCCAGGGGTCAGAGCTTCAGGTCAGGTCACTGGTCATCCACTTTGTATGGAGAGAGAGGCGGCCCCAGCAACACTGAGGACAAAGAGGCTTGGGTTAGGGAAGTGGGTTTTGGCACAAGCTGTGAGGATCTGATCTTTGCATTGAGTTAATCTCAGCAGAGAGCACCCATTTCAGAAGAAGCACTGAGCAACCAAGTGGACAGGATGAGTCAGCCAACTGGTGTGTGCTAGCCTCTGTCATGACCCACCCCAGGGCTTGCACATGGGCTCCTGGAGAGAGAAACCCCAGGGGCAAAGATGGATATTAACCACGGGCTCCAAATCACGTGCTTCCTCCCCAGGGGTGAAAGCTACTTCTCCTGCTGAATGTCTTGCCCACTAGGAACAAAACCAATGCTGGGTCCCAAGAAGGTGCCATGCTCTGAGGAGATGGAGCAGCTACGTGTTGGCAAGTTGAAACAGCTACGTGTTTTCCATCCTTAAGGTCAGGCTCTGTGAGTCTCCAAGACCTACTTCTGCAAGGGGTGGGCAATGAGAGTCCCCAGAAACCAAAGACTACACCATGTAGTTACTTATAACTCCTCAGGCTGGAGGCAAGCAGGCCCTGAAAGGCTCTACCATACTGGCAGGAATTATTGACTATGATAACTTGAAGGAAACAGCTACACATTT